CCGTGAGGGCTGTGGGGGCAATGGGGGGCTCGGGGGGCCCCAGGGTCTGCTCCCAGCCCCCTCCCTGCTTTTAGGGTTGCCCACACCTCTGGTTCTCCCTGGGCACAGCTAATGCTTTCAAGAATTCCTTGCACACTGGAGGGAGGTCTAGCTTGGAGAAATATTTGGACTCAACCCTTTGGCCACTTCCATTTTCCATGTTTCCAGCCGAGGGAAGGGGAAAGGGAGAAGCCTGGGCACGAGCCAAGGCTGTGAGCACAAAGGGGGGGGTGGGGGTTTGCAAAAGGATGGGGTGACCCCCCAGGGGATGTCTCCATCCATCTCCAAGGGATGCTGAACGGGGGTGAGACCCCTCCCCCCTTCTTCCTACCTGGTCCACCAGGAATTCGGTCAGCAGCAGGAGGCGGTTGCCCGCCCGGGTGGCCACGGGGATGGTGAGCTTGATGGTCACCCCCTCCACGGGGAAGAAGCCCAGGTTCTGCAGCTGCCAGGGCAGAGGGCAGGGATGTTCCTGGCACATCCCCACCCACCCCGGGGTGGCACTGGGGGGACCTTGTGCCAGCCAACAGCCCCCTCTCCTCCCCTCCCTACCTTGAAGGTGCAGTGAAAGGGGGGCCCCATGCTGTTGTATCTCTCCAGGGAGCTGTTCCACCTCAGCTCATAGTAGTCCAGGCTCGATGCCCTGTGGTGCCAAGTCATCAGGTGGGCTGGGAGCCAGCAGAGCTCCACGCCCAGTTGCCCCCAGAACCAAGCTGGGCAGCCCCAGCAGCCTCACTCCCCAGGGGGAGAGGATTTTTGGTCAGCCTGGTGCCATTTTGAACTGGAACCATCACCTGGCTCCACCTCTTGCCAAAAAAAAAAAAACACGGGGGATTTTCATGCTCTGCTGCTTCTGCTGCATTTTCCCCTTTCTTGGTAGAGTTTTTCTCACCTTTTTAATAAAAAAGAGACCTCCAAGGCCCTGGTCAGGGGTTTGAATGTCACAGCTAAATCTCAGGAAGGAAATCTCATCTCTGTTCTGCAGCTGGAGGGGAGGGGAAGGAGCCAGGAGCATCCAAGGGGAGCCTGGTGGGGAGTGCCCTTGATGTGACACATCCAAGTTCTCCCTTCTCCCTTCAGGGTGATTCTGATATCTGTTAAATTGGGAATCCTGCACTCCCCATAAATGGGAAGTATTAAAGTGGATTTGTTGTCAGTACCCCACTGCCTCTAAGTGTAAAAACAATAAAATGACTGCAGAGCTCAAAAATCTGCTGAGGATTACAGCAAATGGTGCCAGGGAACGTGCTTCTGAGGTCCACCTTTTTTTTTTTCCCCCCTTATTTTCAAGTTAATAAATTATCATCTGTGCCTCAGCTCCTCATTTTCCTTGGGCTGAGGACTTTACTCACTGCTTTCATTACTGCTGGTGCCCAAACCCTTCCACACCCCCCCTTCAGCTGAGCTTCTGGTGGGGTGGTTTCTACTGGGATGGCTTCTGGCCCAGACACTGTCTCAGAACACATGTTCTGAAAATTATTACCTACAATAAGTACTTTTTTTCCCCTTAAAAAAGTTTGCCCTCCCACCAGTTTAATCACACGGGTGCTTTTAAACGTTATGAACACACAGCACCTCGTTGCTCCTTGCTCTTGATTTTTAGAAGGACCCCCTGAGGGGGATATCTCTGATTTTATGGTTCCTTCAGCCCCTTTTCCATGCAAATCCCCCCAGTTAAGGCCCAGTTTGCACTGGGTTCTGTTTGAACACAGGTCCCAGTGTGGCCAGCACTGGTTTTCCCAAAGGACACTCCTTGGAAGTGTTCAATGCCACCTTATATTTTACTTTTATCAACCTGGTCTGGTTTAGATGTCCCTGCCCATGGCAGGGGGGTTGGAACTGGATGATCTTTAAGGTCCCTTCCAACCCAACCCATTCTGTGATTCTCTGCAAGGTGTGTCCCTGCCACGAGCTCTGTCCCCTTCCAAAACACACACCTGGTGAAGAGCAGGTCGGCTTCATACTTCAAGTGATAATTCAGGTGGGCAAAGTTGTCCTCCTTGGTGCTCTCCTTCTCCTCGCTGTCACTGAAACAGCAGCAGGGCAAAAGGGGGTGAGGGGCAAGCTGGTTCCTCTCTGATTTTTATTGGTGGGGGTCATAGAAAGTGGGTGGGGCAGGGCTGAACTTCTGCCTTTTGGCTGAGTTTAAAGAGAAGCAATTTTATTCTATAACTTTTATCAGCCTGTGGCCATAGAAGTAGATCATTTGGAGAGAGGTTTCACGCCCAGCAGCCCTGGCAGAGCCACTCTTTGGCTGCTCTCAGCCACCACGACCCATGAAAATGAAAAATACCTTCATGAGGTTTCACTTGGCTGTTGGAAAATGTTATCTGTGGAGGGGAAATGAGCTGGGGGAATTTTGCATTGCTGTGGGGAGATAGTTAGAGTTGTGAAGGTGGGTGAGAAAGCAGCAGTGGCCAAGACTCTTCGTGCTCAGCGCAGAGCCCAGCAGCAATCAGGTTTCCTTGTGGTTATTGCCCAGGTTAAGCCTCCAGCATCCCCTACAGCTATGGAGAAGGAAACCCACTATGGAGAAGGAAACCCAACAGAAGTCATGAGGAAGGAAACCCAACAGAAGCCATGGAGAAAGGAACCCAACAAAAGCCATGGAGAAGGGAACCAAACAGAAGCCATGGAGAAGGAAACCCAACAGAAGCCATGGAGAAGGAAACCCAACAGAAGCCATCGGGAAGAAAACCCAACAGAAGCCATGGAGAAGGAAACCCAACAGAAGCCATGGAGAAAGGAACCCAACACAAGCCATGGAGAAGGGAACCAAACAGAAGCCAGGGAGAAGAAAACCAAACAGAAGCCAGGGAGAAGAAAACCAAACAGAAGCCAGGGAGAAGAAAACCAAACAGAAGCCAGGGAGAAGGGAACCCAGCAGAAGCCATGGAGAAGGAAGCCCAACAGAAACCATGGAGAAGGAAACCCAACAGAAGCCATGGAGAAGGAAACCCAGCAGAAGCCATGGAGCAGGGAACCCAAGAGAATCCATGGAGAAGGAAACCCAGCAGAAGCCATGGAGCAGGGAACCCAAGAGAATCCATGGAGAAGGAAACCCAGCAGAAGCCATGGAGCAGGGAACCCAAGAGAATCCATGGAGAAGGAAACCCAGCAGAAGCCATGGAGCAGGGAACCCAAGAGAATCCATGGAGAAGGAAACCCAGCAGAAGCCATGGAGCAGGGAACCCAAGAGAATCCATGGAGAAGGAAACCCAGCAGAAGCCATGGAGCAGGGAACCCAAGAGAATCCATGGAGAAGGAAACCCAGCAGAAGCCATGGAGAAGGAAACCCAGCAGAAGCCATGGAGAAGGGAACCCAACAGAAGCCATCATCCCATCGACCTCACAAACACGGGCAGAGGAGAAAGCAGCCATCAACCTGCTGGCGATCAAGTAGATCTCCATGCTTTGAAGGAAGATTGACTTGCTGAATTCAAAATCCAGGCGAAAAGCCACCTGTGGGGGTTGGAAAGAGATTGGAGAACACATTAGGTGGGCTGGAAAAAAATAACCCAGGAGTGGTGCGAGGGCTCAGTGTTGAGAGCAGCCTCAACCCCACCATGAGATGCTACCAAGCTTTGGGCATTTTTTTTCTTCTTTTCTTGCATTTTCCTGCTCAGAGGCTGGAGAAACAAGCAGCCCCCCCCCATTTGGCAGAGGACCCCCCCGGGGGCTGGGGCAGGCAGCCAGAGAGAGGCCAACAACAATAAAATGTGCTAAATGTCCCATCTGCCCGAGCCCTGGCAGTGACCTCAAACCGTCTGGGGCTGCAGAACTGAGGAGGAGATTAAAGCTCCTGCTGCTCTTCGGCCAAATTTCCATTTCCAGCTTGTCTTTGTTTTGGCAGGACCTGCACCACCTGATGCCACGCTGCTGCATTCTCAGCCCCCGTAGGTCATGGGGAGTTGGGCTGCTGGGCTCTTCCTGCAGCCACAGGCATCTGAGAGGGCTTTTTTTTTTTGGGAGCCTGAAAGCCTAGCGAGGTGCCTGGAGCTCATCCATCATTCTCAAGCTTCTTATAAGGCAAGGTTTCGGATGGCTACAAGGGTTGGAAAGATTTTTCTCTTTAGGTCCCACTTATATTTGTCCCTTTTTCAGGGGTGATGCAGGATGGGGAGGTGGGATCTCACACGGGGTCCTGGTGGCTGCAGAGAGCAGCATCTCCTCACTCTTCCTTCCCCACCTTTATGCTGCATATAAAGTTTGCAGAGGGGTTTATGGCACATAAAAAATGATGCCCACTGGATCTGGGCTTACCCCAGGAGCTGTGAGCTGTGGTTCAGAGGATGCCACCACCTCAAAGGGGCTTGGGCAGGCTTGGAGAAGAGTCTGGAGGGACCTTGGGGGTTCAGAGCAAGGCAAACCTCTCAGGCAGAGAAGGGCACCTCATCATGTAAGGAAGGAGCTTGGGGGAGTTACCACCAGTGGTTTGAAGCCAACATTAAATTGCTCCAAAGGACTGGAGTCAAATTCTGTGACTCAGAGGAGCTGGGTTTGATTTTGGTTCTCTCCAAGGACCCAGCTCCCCAACGCACTTTTCAAACACCAGCAATGGAACAAGGAAGGGAAGAAACCAACCCTTCATCTTTAAAAACCCTGTTCAAAGCCACCTAGCCTGAAGATGGATGGATGCAGCCCCACGGCCATGCTGGGGCAGAGGGCTCCTGCCCTGTGGGTGAAGGCAGGAGGCAATTTAAATTAGAAAGCAGGAAGCTTTACCTTGGCCCTGGCTCGGAAGAATGGGTAGCTCACATTGCACACTTTCTTGTTGGGGTTCTTCTCTTCAGTCATGCAGTCAATGTTGATGTCTGTGTCATCCTAAAACGGGATGGAAAGTGTCCAGGACACTGGGCAGGAGCCCCCTGACCTCTTTGTGAAAGCAGCAAACACACACGTGGCTCAAAACAGGCTCTAAATTTGGGGGAAAACAACCAAACCAACCAACCAACCAACCCACCCACCAACCACCCAACCAACCAACCACCCAACCAACCCGTCCTGCTTGCTGCAGGCTGAGTCCTTCCCTGCAGCAGAATTTCTAGGGTTGTTCCTGGAGGGGGACATGTCTAAGCAAGCAGCTCCCAGCTTTCCAGTTTAAATCCTCTTTGGAAATGTAACTCCAGCAGTGAATGAATGAATGGCACCATTATTCTTGGCACCCTAATTGGGGAGGAGAATATTTGCTGTGATGAGAAGTCTCAGGGAAGCAGCAGGAGAGAACATGAGCTGTTATTCTTCATGGCCACTAGCTAAGCAGTCATATTTAATCTCCTTGTCTCAACGATGATGTTCCTGCTGGTTGAACACCTTCCAGCTCACCAGCCAGGCTGGAGAAGCTCCTGCCCACCACATAGGTTGGGGTGGGATGGGACACTGACCCTGCTCTGCCCCCTCCTCCACTGCCAAGCTGGAGCAATCCTGCAGGAGGTTGTAGCCTGGTTGTATGCAGGTGTCCATCCCCACCATGAGATGATAAACTAGTCCAGTTTTTAGGACACCACAAGGGTCTCAATTCAAGCTGCTGCCACTGGACAAGTCCTACCAAGGAGATGAAACATCTCAGTAGCAGCTGCAGGGAAAATGCCCTGACAGCCTGGAGCTTTCTGTCACTCATCTGCTGAGATTATGGGTTAGGGTTAGTCCCTAATGGACTTTCTAGGGCCACAGGTCCTTTTATTTTGGGTCTCTACACAGCCTCTGACACAAACATCCATCCTCTCTGGTTGGCAACTTGCTTACTGGTAAGGACAGGGAGCCAAGAACCCGTTGGCAGTGATGCTTCTGTAACCAGCTACAAATATTTCCTGCAACCACTGCTGCGTGGTGCTTTCTGTCACTGAGCCTCGTAGGGTTCCTCCCCCCTCACTTCATTTGGAGTCATCTCCCAGAAAATGCATTTTTTTCTGATTTTGTGGGCAACGTGCCCCATCATTTTCCCTTGGCACGGCTTGTAGAGCAGCAAACGCAGGACATGGGATCTGCAGGAGGAGATGAAGTCATTGCAGGGGGTGAGGAGGGGGGAGCTCAGCACCACCAGCATAGTTCCAAGAACTCTCTGAGGAAATGAGAGTCACACCAAGACTGAGTGAGAGGTAAGGGTGAAGTTCTGGGGAGGGTGGGAGTGGATGGGGCAGGATGGGGCTCGATGCTGAGCTGGAGCCACATCCATTCTCAGCCCATACTTCCAGGAGTGATATATCAGCTGCAAAAACTCACCCCTGACAGGAACTTGGCCACGTGCAGCCAGTATTTTTAAACTCTTGGAGTAGAAAAAGAAAGCAGGAAATAATTCCATCTGCCTTTGACCTTCTTGCAGGCTCTTAAAAACTCAAACATTTTTGCGCTTCCAAAACCAAGAGCTGAAAGGGTTGTAAGTGCTTGGAAAAGAAGCCCATAAACACGTCTGATTTAGGAGGGATGGAGGTATTTTTGGGTATTCTGGTTGAGGACACAGCTTCCTCCTCCAGCCGGGGTGAGGAGCTCCTCTGGAAAGCCCTGGCTCTCCCCCAGCAGCCTCACCTTGGGGATCAAGCTGGCGAACTGGAGGTTCCTGGAGAAGGAGATGTTGAGGACCGTGCTGTAGGCGTTTTCCCCTCGGTTCTCCAGCACAGCTTCCACGGCCACCCTCCTCCTGCTGCTCTCCATGATGAAGATGGAGGTGTCGAAGGCGAGGCTAAAGGCTGAGCAGTCTGAGGGAGCCCTCCGCAGAGCCCGCCGGCAATACTCCCTGCAAGAGGTTTGCCTCCAGCACCACGCCAAGACCTGACCCCGAGGGGTTTTGATGTCCACGGGGCTTAGGAGAGCCCGAGGGAGCCCCTGCTCTGTCCTGCTGTGGGGCTACAGGAAGAGGAACCCCAAATTCCTCACGTGGACCATCGCTTTGCTGGGGAGTTTTGGCTGAGGGTGCCCAGCGTTCTCCAGCCCAGCGAGGAGATCTCAGCACAGATGGGATGTCAGGAGAAAGCAGAGCCCAGACCATGAGGAAAGGGTAAAGCTGGTGTTTAGTCTCAGCCTGGCTGAGGACTCTGCCATGGCAGCAGCTGCTTCTGCTGGCTCCACGTGGGGTTGTTTTGGGAAAAATGAAAGAGGAATGGGAAAAATGTAGGATGGTGCCACCTTCAGAGCCACCTTCTGCCTCTAATGGCAGGGCAACCAGGGTGCTGGTGTGAAGGAAGCCACCTCAGAAGTGGTTTTCCCAGCAGAAGTCGCCTCTGTATCAGCTGCTCTTCTAGGGCATGAGCTAGTTCCCATGGGTGATGCTGGAAAAGCTCCACAGGCTTCAGGAGGAACCAGCTTAGAGGTCTAGCACCCCAGTAGACCACAGCATCTGCCCATGGTTATTTGTAGGCATTCAGCCACTAAAATCCATAAATTGTCCCTACCTACAGCTCACTTCAACCTCCTCCAGCACAGCCCCAGGCCCCAGACTCTCTCCCAGTCAAGCTCTGGGTCACAGCCTCAGGACCAAGAGCTTCACAGGGCAATAAACGCTGAATTATGGGATAAAACTAATCCCACGAGCTTGGTCCAGAGCCCACTGCCATGGATGAGAGGTAATTCCAACCCCGTTGGTAATGCCAACTGGGTAATTCCAACCTCCACGTTATTCCTCTCTGCTTGTTACTGATTTATCTGCTGGGGCTCACCACCATGGCATCAAATATTAGCTGTTTTGTGAATTCCCTGGAAAAACACCAGTTTGTCCCAGGCAGGGAGCAGACAGAGGCTCAGAGACACACTGAGAGTGGAGGTGTTGAGGAGCACCTCGTGGTGGTGTTGGGTCAACCTCGTGGTGGTGCTGGGTCAACCTCGTGGTGGCATTGGGTGAACCTCATCCTGGTGTTGGGTGAACCTCATCAGGGTGTTGGGTGAAGGGACCAATTGCAATGCCAGAATCTATGGGTCACGAGTTTGGGCTTGATTTTGGAGA